AACGATTTTGGTCAAGAATAAAATGCATATATAGTTAGGGTTACACCATGTAAACCCTAATTAACACGGCCTTTCATTTCCATGATCGATGGGTAGAAAAACACCATGGAGCATCCATGGATCATCATATGGGTTTTAGCCCAACTAGATAATCCACCGAGCATTACCCACTATATAAGTATGGATGATTTGCACAATCAACCCATACATTTAATTAGTCTTCTTTTGATCACTTAATTAATCATAGATTAATTCTTGATCAATACTAATTAAATAATCTTATTATTCTTATTATTAATATACTAGAACTTATAATATATTAACAACCATAAGTGTCTTATTTCTCTCATTATAGTCTATCCAAATGCATGATGCCATGCAACCCAAATGGACCATGCCGGGTCGGGTCAAGTCTTACCAATTATAGTTATGGACTTAGACATTAATCCAACAGTCTCCCACTTGGATAAGTCTAAAACTATTATTGCGTATGACTACAAGAACCGACCGGCAATCGTAGCTCTCAAAAGCTTCTGTCGAACTCTGACCTTGTCGATAAACTCTGACCTTTGTCAATGATTTATGCATTAGATAAGGGATCATATATTCCTCCGTTCTAGATATCATATGGACTGAGACATGGATTGTAAATCATTCTCTCTGTCCATCTGTTGTTTCCCGATTTCCGATTTATGACGACTGACTAATTGAACAAATCAAATCAGTCCTAGCCCGGCCGAGCACTTCCCTTTGTCGTCATCAAATCTTCGAGGGGCCCACAGATATCGCTTTTATCCCGAAGGTGAAAGGAATGGATAAACTTCGACTCATATGGCTTGTTCTACTACTTGTTGAATCATACACAGAGATACGTTTTATAACATCGAGTTACCAATGCGTTTTGGTGCAATCAATGTACTATCAACTCATAGTAACAACTCATATCTCTAAGTTTGACGAATATAAGATATTATTATCACATGATCACTCGTGATAAAATCCATGAAGTGATTCCAATGAGCGCGGGTTGAATCCAATACTCAGAACTTATGAGCACTCATGAGTGTTGTAGCCCTTTTTCCAACACCTTAGAGCTCTACAAGCCAACTCATAACAGTCTTAATTCATATCTACTTGCAACATATGACCGACTGTGGATGGTTTGAATAACTTTGTCATTCCGAAAGAATAACCTAGTTTATTCTGGAAGTCAAAACATGCAAAATGAAACACAAGAATAATTGAATCCAATATGGTATCAAAACCTATGAACATAAATAAAACACCTTTTATTTATCACCATATGATTACACATTATTCATTGTATATTCTTTCAGCTATCAACTTTATTCTTGAATTTAAAACAATAGAGTCCCATGCTCCAAGCATGTACACTATGTTTTCTAGACTCTAGTCATGCCACACACCAAGTATGCATACTATGTTTGTCTATGATCTTTACTTTGTGAAATAGATCAAGTGAACATAACTCCAATGATCCTCTTTTCACAGTCCCAAATCCTTACTTCAAATGCAAGAATTCCAAATTCATTCCATGTAACACCGAAAATTTCAAACCAATTTTTCAATTTTTTTATAAAACATAATTCCATCAATATTCATAAAAACAACCCTTATAATTGTCCAACAAAAACAGTACAAAATCCCAAGATCATAATGTCAAGCTCCAAACGTGTGTGTGTACGGATCAAGCCGGCGCCTTCCCGCGGTCGTCACTAGTACCTGAAACAAATAACATCAACACTGTAAGCACAAGGCTTAGTGAGTTCCCCAAAATACCACCTATAACACATATTAGCCACTCTAGGCTATAACTCTGTGGGTCCGTGCACCCAAACTCTGTGAACCCTCAGGTTCTAACTCTGATAACATGCACCACATAAATCACATAGAAATCATGCTGTACAACACATAACATACATAGCATACAAATACTCTATCACATAACTCTGGTTACCTACTCAAGGTAAAGTATAGTGAGAAGACTCACCTCGCGTGTCTCGGTAAATCGTAAACCTGAAATCGCTAATCACCCGATCTGTCGAGCTGTAGTCCCCCCCCCCTATAGCACAATACATCTCTAATTAACACTTTCCCAACTAGGGTAGACCACACTATAACAACTCAATCTAGGTCAACGCTGGTCAACGGTCAACGGTCAACTTTGACTGGACTCGGCGAGTGCGCTATAGCGACTCGGCGAGTCTGAGCGCATGCACCAATTTCCCTGGAACCCTCCCCTGACAAGTCGAGCATTCCCTCAACTCGACGAGTTCCACCTGGCACGAGTTGTGGGGCCTCCACGACTCAACTCGCCGAGTCTCAAGAACAACTCGGCGAGTCCAGTTTGACTCAATCCACCTATCCATTCTGACTCCCCCTTGACTCACTGAGTCCACCCTTCCCAACTCGGCGAGGCCACTCACTGTGTGGTCGGGCAACATTCATGCTACTCGCCGAGTCTGTTCTTCGGACTCGGCGAGTCCGTGCCCTCCACTGACTCAATCTTGCTCTAAAGGTCAGATCCAGTCCATTAATCCATAGATCCAGTCCCTCCAAGCTCATTTAGCACGTAAAGTTACAATCTTGATGCACATACAACCTCTATATGACCATATATGATGTTTTTGACTCAAATACTACAACACAAGGTCAAGGACTCCATTGTCACCCATAAAGCTTGATGAGTGAGGCTCTCTGACCTCTATGGATCCAGATCCATGGCCTCAACTCAAAGAGGGAACCAATGGGCATCAAATCATCCCATAAATGACCACCATAAGCCCTAAATTGCATCATGCTTCACTAAACAGAAAATGGTCCGAGATAATACCTCTAGAGTGATGATCTAAGCTCCAAATCCATGAAATAGCAACCTCCTTTGCTTCCTCTTGCCTAGGGTCTCCTTCTTCTTGCTAAATAACACACACAAGATCAAGAATGGCTCCCTTCTCTTCACAAATCGCTCAAGAACACAAGGGTCACTCACTGAGGGTTGGGTGAGCACAAATGACGGCCATAAGGCCCTTTAAATAGGCCTCAAACCCGGAGATTTAGGGTTTCATTACACAATGCAGACTCACCGAGTCCATATCCTGGACTCGCCGAGTCCAGGCGCGCACCAATGTTCAATTCCGCGTCCCTACTCGGCGAGTCTGAGCTCCAACTCGCCGAGTCCCTCTCACAATATAACAAAATTAGATTTACAAGATACCTAGTAAAATCCGGATGTTACATTCCATTTACTGAAATCTTTTAGATTCTAAGCTTATATGCATTGATCCTCTTGTAATGATTATGCACAAAATCAGAAGGACTTGACAACAACCATCACAAAGTATTCCACAGGAGATCAGCTCCTTGGGAACATCCTTCTTGCGTTAAGTTTCCTAATCTTACACAGATTGAATAACTTCTAACTTTGAAACATTTCCATATTCCATTTTGACTATCCCTACTAAACAAGAGTTGCCTCCTTACAAATTATGTCAATATGGTCCTTCCAGAATTATCACTATACTTCCAACTGTCCTTGAGCAACCAATATTTGGTAAACCATAGATTGTCCTCGACAATTGTTTAATCATTTTAGTCATATCCAGTTCTAAACCGTTTCCCTTCTTAATGCCCCAGGCATTTGGAAAATTTTAGAAAGGATGAATATAGCACATGTAATTGATCCTATATCCGAAGCATATGGGACACGATTCATGATGTCTCCATAAAGACTAAACTAATCTTTTGCTATACTATTTCCATTTCAATTTGCCAAGTTCTCATAATTCATATTATGAAAAGGGATGTCGTAATCATAATCGAATTTTAGAACGCAAATAATGGACCCATATATAGAATTTCCTTATGTTGAGCCATTCCAACATGAATCATATATGTATCCTTGACTAAATACGATTAAAACCTCAGTCTAAGCTTTTAGATTTGAAATGAAGTATAATTTCCTCTCCCTTAATTATAGCAAAACAACTCTTTCCCAATTGAAACTTTTGTTTTCTATAATTAACATTGCTAACTTGCAATACTTATCATAATTATCATGCTCCCACTAACATGCAATACTTATCATAATTAGCATAACACTTATGCTCCCACTAGCTTTGACATATACTCAGAAAGCTCGACTTCTAGAAATCAATACTTTATTGACTTTCTTACCAAAGTTCAGATTTCTGATACTAGATTGTTTTGATAAAACTTTATCAAAATCATACATCTTCCCTTAGATATCTCATAGGTGTGTCTAAACAATTATGAAAAGGGATGTCGTAATTATATTAGTTAGACCTTTTTGCCACTTCTCACTAGTCCAGGTTAGTGTGTCGGTTAACCACACACGCTCCACTAACGACTTTTAGAATACAAATATCGCAATTGCTATCTAGCTAAAATATACTTAGTGAAAGTGTTTCCTCACCATCATTTTCATGAATCGGAGAGAAAACTTATGACACTTAGATTTAATGGTGTATGTGTTCTTATCCATGTGAATTCTCACTACTAGAAAAACAGCCTTTTACGACTCTCATTGCGCATCGTAAAAACGCTCAGATGACGCGCAAATGCGCGTCAAGGAAGGCCTGTCATAAAGAGAGACGACGCGCGGTTATGACACCCAATGCGTATCAAGGAAGGCCCTATCATAAAGGAAGACGACACTTATTTGCGTGTCGTAACCTTACAACGTGCATGTTTATGACACGTAATGCGTATCAAGGAAGCCCCTGTCAAAAAGGTTATGTCATAAATGAAGACGACACACATTTTTGCGTATCGTAATTTTAATTTTAATTTTTTTTTATAGATTTACTGATTTTCAAATTAAATTTGCATTTCATGTCTCATAATAGAAAATAAAATACCATATACAAAAAATACAATACATTGCACAAAAATTAATGTCATACAAATAATCATTCTAATAGTAGACAAATCTAATACATCAAAAAAGCATTCGAATAGTAGAAAAATGTAACATTTCAACAGTTTTTTTTATAATTAACTAAATTATTAGCCAAATTTCGTAAAATACCAACATACTTTTCTATGAAGAGCATTAACACTATTCTTTTCCATCAGAAACTTCAAAACCTACATAATTAAATTAATTTGTAATCAACTACAGGTCAATAAGGTAGGTTTAACCAAGAGAGTTTCATAATAGTAAGATTTTACTTTGAGTTTATTACAACTTTCAGCTCTTAATTGCTCAAGACTTGTCTCATACATATAAATTTTAGGATTAAGAGGTCTTACTTTAGGTAACATATCCATGACTGATGTTAAAAAAAAAAAAAAAAAAAAAAAAAAAAACATGTACCACACAAAAGTCTAAATTATACCGAGTTTTTATTTGTAGTTGAATGCAACTTTTGTTCATAGTCCCCCTCGTCCTCATATTCTTCCTCTGTTCCCTTCCGTCCGAATTGTTCAACTACAAATAACAATTCGTGTCGTAAAACAAAAAGTTACCCTGTTCATGTTCCACCCAAAATAAACAAATAAATAACACATGTTTCTTTTTGATTTAATGCAGAAAGAATGACTTAATAATAAAGTTACCTATGGATATTTGAATTTGACAGTGCCATGAGCATTACCAGCCTCTTTCCGGTAATTACTAGCTGTTGACCTGGAACACACCCGCATTTTCAGTATTTCAATTATCATGTATCATGTATCATGTATTGTGTTACTGTTACCTATCAAATGGAAGTGGTTGGCCTCCTTACATATGTAGAATATCTCCAAGTGCTATTCTAAGGGCATTTCAGTCAAAACAAATCTCCGCATACCCTACAGCACAGGCTATCGGCCCCCAATTTGGATCCCTCCCATAAATTACCACCTGATAAAACATACATAAAAAATCATCATTATATCATTGGAAACAGTTATTTCACCTTCAAATAACAACATATTAACCATCATGCCTTGGTAAGTGAAGAAGATGCCACTGAACATGTAATCTTTGGTGCTTCACTTTCACTCCGCACCACTCACCATCACCTGCATAATTTCCCATTTCCATAAATACCCTTCTGCCCAAAAAAAACAAACAAACAAACAGACCTCTATCACACATGTTGCCCCTTCTCCATCCCATGCTATATAGATAGCATATTGACTGTATAATTCATTGAAAGGAATCTCATTCCTAACAACTGGTACTCCAGTTCTTGATGTGTCTTCTGCTAATCCATACTGCAACAAAACAAGATTATTCATGAGAAAAATATCAAGTTTCATAAATAGTATACAATGATTTTATTATATTGGGAAAAAGATTACATAGACTAACTGATCAGAACAGTGCCAAGGTTGTAAATTGCTCTGTGGAAGTCAAATTGCAACTGTATTACTGCACGAAACTTCATAGGTGGCTATAAATGTGGTTAATAACAATCCATTCATGGTGAAAAATTATAAGAAAAAAGGTGAAGTTTTTATAATATTTATTTACCTTAGTGATTGCACTTCTTATTATAGTCTGTTTTTCAAGGGCAGGAACAATTGCACTTAATTCCTGTGACACCCATTATTGATGTTAATCAATGTACATAAATAAAACATCTAAAATGTTTAGGATTATATTAGAAAGTTTTAAATGAAACACCTGTAAAGCAAGTCCCCAGTTGTTAAGAGCCTGGATTTAATTTCATCACAAACTCATAAACAAGAAGCAGAGAATTTACAAATGAAATAGAGCTACTTATCTTTTTTTTTTTAAAGTTACCTGTCGATTGTTCCAATTTAGTTTGATGGCTATTTCACAATTCTTTGTTGCTTGTTTCCATATTTCTTCAGCTTCCTTTGTGCGTCCATGGAGTTTGGCTCTATCACATATGGCAATAGCCCAATTATAATAAGCTTGTAGTTGCCCCTTCACAACAACCTGTACCATCTTTCGCCAGATGTGAGTATCTACATGAGCATGGGTTGTTATAACCTGAAAATTGACAATTTTTTTTTAATCAGTTAAATTAATATAACAATATTAGTACATACACCAAGAAGTGTTCCCATGTTTGGGTAATAAATGAAATAAAAAGCTATATGAGCAACCACAACTGAACACATCCCGTGATGGAATCCGAGATTCCAATTCCTTTGGATTCAGTTGGAATCCATAAACCAAACATGTCCCAGAATGGAATTCAGATTGGTTTTAAAGATATTTAAGAAACCAGAAAGTAAAAAAAGATTTGTTTGTGAGGACAATTTAGTCATTTAATAAAAAAAAGTATGGAATTCAATTCTTAGCACCCATTTCCAGTAATGGAATTCAAGATCCAATTCCTTTAGATTCCGTTGGAATCCATGAACCAAACACGCCCTAAGATCATCTTAAACGATAAATTTCAAGACGAGATTGTTTTTGGGGACAAAAAAAGTATAATATTGTAATAGGAAGAAATGTAGGGAAAGATGCTATAATAAATAAATCAACAAAAGTATTACGTTTGAAATACCTTAGACTTATACCCAAACTCCACAAGGTAATTTTCCTCTTGAAAGATCTCAAGAAATCGTTGCTTGACTTCCAACTTCTTGTCCACAGAAGAGACCACTCTGACAACAAGTTCTTCTGCTCCAGCAACCTGATAGTAAAGAAAATATAAGATGCATTGTTCATTCACAATGTATGATATGGAGTTGTATTTTCTTTTTTGGGGGGATTATAACATCACCTCATCATAAGTTTTCCCATAGAACCTTGCACGCTCTAGTCTCTCCTACTTCAGCTTTCAAAACAACCTGCTCTCTATGTGATCACTGAGTATGGTTTTAGGTAAATCTTTTGCTCCAAGTACAAAACTATGTGGTAGAGGCATCCGCTCTCCTCTTTCAACTTCTTTCATATAACAATTTTTACAAGTATAATATGCTTGCCCCTCATCATTTCTGCAACCATTAAATAGTGCACATATTTGATGCTGCCAGGCTTCACACCTGTCACATTGAACCCACTGCAGTGCACAACCCCACAAGAAAATAGAATATAGATATATAGATGTATACTTAGAAAATAGAATTTCTCTTGATGCGAGCACCACAAGGTGTACAATATATAGGCGGGGGTTCAAAACTCAGCTTTTCAACTGCACATAGTTGACACGAGTTCTCACTCATCGAGTGTTCCAGAGCTTGATTCTTTTCTACTTTTTCTTTGCTCTGTATAAAATGAGAGATTCAAAAAAAAAACACAAAACAAGCACAGTTCCATAAAGTAAAATGCAGATTCTGACCTTGCCAACCTACTGCCTGAGACCTGTTATATGCTCATGAACCTACCTGAGACTTGAGACTTGTTATATGCTCACGACCTGTTATATGGTGTATTAGATATCTGAAAATTAATAACAAACGATTAAAAGATAATGAAATGAAATCAATCATAAAAGCTGAAATAAAGAAAATATGTTATAAAACTGACCTTCATTTGCATGTGTTATAAAACTGACCTTCATTGTTGTTAGTTCTTCCACACACTGCATTAGAACTCCATACTTTGGTACCTATTCAACCATTTTTGCATGGATGAGAGGGGGGGGGGGAGTGGGATAGATAGATTTCTTTCAACTTGAAATGAGAGGTGTATAAATGTAACAAAGCTCTTTTGTGTGTTTGTAAGAAAACTCTTTCAAGTAAAGTTACAGGTTTCAACCCATACTATGAGTACATAAGTAGTATAATACCTTAAATGCCCTTAAAGTTGCTATGTAGCGTGATGTATAACATCATATGGCTCACTAAACCCTTTTCCAGATTCCCAAACCAATAATCATAATCAAATCCAGAGGTAGAATAGTCTTCTGGGGAACAATTGGAGCCTGAGTCAGACATTGAAGAAAACGCCTCACGGGCGTCAAAAAATTCATCTTCGTTATCACTGTAACTACCCATCTTTGATTCCTAAAATATCACCTTGTGAAAACCTAACCGACATATGTCATTGAATTAATATAATTTAGCACGGAAGATTGTATCTTGAATAAATGGAATTTTGATTTTGGAAAAGGTGAAACATCCAAACCCTAACGCACCTAAGAAATCAAACAAGAAGAATTAAAATAAGGGAGAATGAACAAAGCATACCTGATATGATTAGAGAGTAGAAGTGAGGACCGTGGAATGATGAAGAAATCGCCATTGAAACCTACATAGTTTTTCAGTTAGGGTTTTCACAGGAGAAGATGAGAAGATCCAAAATCGAAATCAAAGCTATGAATAGAGGAGAGATTAAAGAAATAGAAAAACAAAAACATTAGGATGAGAGAATAAACATAGCATATCTTAGTCGGGCTAGGGTGTGGAAACTTGAGCAGTCTCTAACGAGGTCACATGAGCCCGAGGTCGTCGGAGGAAAATACCCCTAAGGTCGTTGAAGGAGAAGTGAGCAAAGATGTTGCCGAAGAGGTGAGGTGAGATCATCGATCGATTTTTGCAGAGGCCAGAGAGCACCAAGTGTTTCAGTTCTTGAAAAAAAAAAGCCCTAGTCCCTGCGATTTTGTGGAATTTAGTAGTATTATCCTTGCTTGTCTTCTTCTTTTCTTCTTAAATCTTTATAACAATCTCTATCAAAACACAGGTTGGCTTTTTAGGTTAGTGGGGGAGGGGGAGAGAGAGAGAGAGAGAGAGAGAGGAAGACGAAGAGGAGCGGGTTTTAATTTTTCATATGGAATAGGCGGGGTTTTAATTTTTGGGGATTTCATTTCCCCCGTTCAAAAACGCGCGTTTTGAGTAAAACATAAAGCGACATTCACAGAGGGCGCACATTTTAGATAAAGTTTCCTCCGTGTTTTAATTGTTTTTTTACATAAGACACTAATCTAAGGGCACGTGATAATGCGTGACATAAATCCTTCAATTTTTTGAAGAGACGACACTTTTTTAATATCACTCCCTTTTGCGTAACATAAATCACTAAGTGTCGTGGTTTGCGCGTCGTTAAAGGGTCTTTTTCTTGTAGTGTGTCAAAACCATAGTCACAGGACAAGGATAATGACAAATCCAAACTCATATGGACTGAACTCAATCTTAATTTCTTTCCACCTGGCAGGTCAAGGGACTGCCATTGCTTCCAAGTTGTTATGCAACCAATTGAAAACTCTAAGAACTCATATGTAAATCCAACTTTAACTGGAATGGGCACAAAATATGTCAACACGATAGGTTATAAATCTGAAGTTGTGTGCTAGTGAAGAACTTTAGGTTTTATTCTTGATTCGTTCTTGAGAATTTCAAGACTTTTAAGACTCCCACTGTCCTCTTGACATATAAGACTTTCTTGGCAGTTATTCAAGAGATAGTGTGGATTCTAATCAAGACAAAAACTTCACAAAATTGGCCTAAGTTGGTCTTTGTTTTATCGAAAACATCACAACTTACCAATTTCAAATGTACAAGAGTAGAAAACTTTTACTCTTACATTTGACAAGTGTTTTAAACCTTCATTAAGACATGTCACTCAAGTTACAATCTTGGAGTATGACTCTAAAAATTGTTTTTGGAACGAAGTATGAATCATCATCTTGATTTAACCACTTCAACAATTCATAGCTCTTCTTCTTAGCTATAAGAAGGCACTTAGAGGATGAATTGTGATAAGGTCTCTAAATCATTAAGATTATCATAAAAACTAATACTAAAGTACTCTCCCATCTTTTCAGATTTGAGAAACTTTTATCCTTCTACCTAGATTGGTTCTTCTTATTCGCTCTGCCATACATTGGAACCTTATCCAATGTCTCAGAATTACACTTAAGCTTGTAAGTATAACCATATTTACTAAGCTTTAGTAAACTATGACGAATAGTCTTATCAATCTTTTGTGGTGGAATTAATCAGTGCACAAGAATGTGTACTTGATCCCTTAGTCCTTTACTTTACTCACACATCCATGTGAACAAGTAATTAGTCTTAATTTTCCAAAACTTGAAAGTTCTCATTCATCATGCTATACAACTTGCATGATTCCAAGTTCCGATCCAATTGAGACTTGGGTGATGAGAATCTTTCCTTATTTGGTAAGTTTATACATTACCACAAATGAAAGAATCAATTTCATATTTCCACTCTTGCTATTAATGGAATCTTATAAGCAACAAAAATTTTCACAGATGCCATTGTAAGGATATTTTAAAATAAATAAAATCAGAAATTTTCCTTTTATTTTAAAACTTTGCGGAAGAACTTATCCTTAAAATCCATATGAAAACTTGTTGTTATCTATTCCTAAGCAACATCTCATAACTCCTAAGAAGTAGCTCAAGAATCCAATCTTCAAAGTATGCTATAGAAATCCATCTACACGATCAGATTCAGCATATTCTTTCTTTAAGTTTCTTTACTTTTCTTTGATTCTTAAAACATCAACATGTGACCCAATCACATCATGTATCACAAATCTCAGAATAGAAACTTAGCAGAGTTAGATAGTGGACTTTACCTGAAGTAGAGTCAAACTTATTGACTTTAACATCCTTAGGTAAAATTGGCAGCTTCGCAACCAATGCCCCTTCCTTTGGCAATTTAACATATGGATGCTTTGGTAATGTACTATCTCAGACTTAGCTTTTCTCTTTACCATTTGATCAACCGAGTTGACTATGGCCGATCCCTTTCCATTGGGAAGAGAGAGCTTTACTGGATATCCAATGTCATTATTGTTAATGTCCATCAAGTTTTAGGAAGTTGATCTTAGCAAATAGATAAGATCTTTAAGGGTCTTGTCATAGTCTATTTCATATGAGTCCCAAAGGAGCTCTCTATGTGACTTAGAAAGTGATTGAACCACCAACTTTCTCAAGACTTTGACACCTAACTCTCCCAAATTGTCAATATGTGAATACATCTCCAAGATGTGATCACACATAGACCTTGCCTTTCCAATAGGGCTTGAGTGACCTTGAACTTGTGGGTTAGGGAGAATAATTGGAGGAGGTGAAAGAATTATGATTTCCATTGGAGATCATCTTCATTTATGAAAACTTATTTCAAGAGATTTGGGAAGATCATAAATGTCTAAACCAGACATCTTTTGGGAGATCTTTAAGATAGTTGATTTAAAGTCCTTAATATGACACCCAATATGAAATATTAAGGCTAGGACCCAACAATCTATTTTATAACTTAGAAGAGGGATTCCGTAATCCAAGATATAAAATATTTGAAGGTAGCTAAATGACGATTTACCAATTTCCACCAAGATAAACGAAATTTATTATTAGGTTTTAATTGGATTTGAAACTCCTAGATCTTTGGAGATTCATTGAACTGTTCAATGGCATGTTTCATTCTCGTGTGTGCCCTTCAGGTTTTGTGACTGGGATGCCGAGGATCACAAAACAAGGTGTAAAGTAACCATGCAAATTACTTGGTACCCTTAAGTGTTTACCCCTCAATCGATGTGCCGGTTAACCACACACGCTCCACCGATACTAGGATAAACATTAAGTTACCCTATGCCTACCTTGTTAAATACGAGTTAGTGTGTCGATTAACCACACACGCTCCACTAACTGACTTAAACAAAGTGCAAAGTGCAATTTCACGGATTAGCACCTTATTCACATTTTCCTAAGTAACTAAGATTGGATATTTATTAAGAGTTTAGTTACTTAGTATTTATCATTAATACTTTTAATGAAGGGAGAATTCTAGTCCTGGTCCTACCCGTTCGGCTAACGACCCTCCACCAGTCAAGGAAGCGGTGGGTGAGAGTGGACACCCATTAAACTACCATTTTATAAGCAGTAACCTTATACCCCCTTATAGACCGGCTTCGTGAATGAGGCTTACTAACGGTAAGACTGAATTTACTCTTATACATACATATATATATATATATATATATATATATATATATATATATATATATATATATATATATTATTAACTTATAATATTATAAAGTATAAGGGTTGAATTTTAACTTTTAAAATTCTAAGGGCTAACTTGGAATTAAAGTATTCATAAGTGAAAACTTTTCAAATTCCAAAACTTGAAGGCAAGTTTTGAAATTATTCAAAACTAATTAATTCCATAACTTATGTGTTTAAAGTAGTTTTAATCCAAAAACTTTTCAAGTTCCATAACTTGAGCACAAGTTATGGAAGACTTTAAACTAATAAAAGAATTAACTTTTCTTTATTTTAAAACTTATGGAATTAATTAAGGTTACACTTTTTATTTATTTATTATTTAATGAAGAGACTCTTGGTCCTCCACAACTTGAGGAGAAGTTATGGAATCATAAAACCATTTAATTAGAACTAGACTCTTCATTTTGTAACCTTTGCCAACTTTTATGAGTTTTATGAAACTTAAATGTGACTTTTCATATTACTTGAGGAAAAGTTACAAAAACACATTTTAGAATCAACTCTTAGATTAATTTGAATTGAAAACAACTATTTCACTCAATTTGTCTATTAATCTAAGTAACATATAAGAACAAGATAATTCAAATCAAACTTTTTCATGTAATTAGTCTAAACTTTAAACTAATAAAAAACATGAATATATTGACAATTATCTCTTGAAATCTGGATTAGCATGAACATTACCACATCAAAAACAAGTTTATAAGTCCAAAAACATCTTAGGGTAATGTTCCTAGTCCAATTGCAGCCAAAAAAATCGAATTTATGCTATCTGGATGTCCAACTCATCGAGTGCACGAACCAACTCGATGAGTTGGATGCATTTTGCCTTGGACTCGGCGAGTCTGCTGGGCAGACAACATCAAACTCGTTTTTTCATCTACTTTTGCAAGTATAACAAGAAAACAAGCCTAGTCTCTGATACCACTGTTGGGTTTTGAGCATTCTAACACTCCTAAGTGTAGATGCAACCCTAAATACCTTGGATCTATGTTTTCTCTATTATACATGCAAATATGA